CACCAAGCCCATCATCCCCAGAAATGTTGTTTTCAGCCAGGCCAAGTATGGTAACCAGGAGGTAAGCCGTGAGAAATCAGAGAAGCCCTGACTGTAGCCAATGTTGTGAACCAAAGTTTTGAAATCCTCTATGCTTCCCTCTCTCAATTTGGAATTATCAACCGAATTAAAAGAGCAAATGTCTTCAGAAGGGAGAAAGAAAATGGCTCAGGCGGTTGAATACAGGGCAGTCCACCCCTGGGGACTCCTTGGGGCTCTCTGAGCTTGGTTGTTTTCTTGGAAATGTTTCTTGCTAGCACTGAAGATGTAACCTAGCCGGGTAACGAAACATTTGCAAGAAGACAACCAAACTCAGAGGACCCCAAGGACTTCCCCTCAGAGCCACACATATTCTCTTCTATTGGTCAGTCCACCCCTGCGAGCTCTCTTGCAATCAGTTTGCACAGCCTTCCGCAGGGTGCCCTGAGTTTCACCTGAGGGGCTTTACCTGCCCATCGTATGTATTGTAGACATCAATAAAAGCACATTTAGAGTTTTGGCTGATTATTAGAGAGTGCTGAGTTCGCACCCATCCTCACAAAATCAAAATAGTCACAAATTTAAGAGTCATCAGTGGCTTTGTATAGACAGGGGACCTTCCTTGCCAGTCATGAGGCACAGACGTGGAGACCCAATATTTATACTGCTGTTCAGCGATGGCAGTCTGGCAATTAAAATGTCAGTGAATGCAGCGGTCAGGGTAAGAGGCAAGCGTTTTCAGCCAGCACAGGGACCTTTGCTTGAAAGAGATCCACGCCCCAACTCAAGACCTTGGAAGACTCCTCCTGAAGTGACCGCAATCCTCGTGAGTTTCTATTGACGTCCACTGAACAAAAGGACATTCATTTGCCACTCTTGTAGGGCAGTCTTCTTCTATTTGGAGATGTGAAGCATTGTTTCTTCTCACCAGGGCAGAATACTTTGCCTGCTCTCAAACGCCTGGTGCCTCCCTTCACCCACACTTTTGCTCCTGTGGTCTCAAACTGACTTTCCCCCTTTCCTTTCCTCTGGTCAGGGGGTTCCCTTTGTCACAGGAGGGGAGGGGATGTTGTGCAGGATCAGTTGCGCCGCTCTCTCTCCTGCTGTGAGGCTCCCTTCAGGTCTCTCTGGGCCTAGGTGGAGAAGTATTCCTTGATGCCCAGAGTCTATTGCATCCTCCCCCTTACATCTATGTCCAGTAGCGCCAAGTCTGTTGTTTTTTATTGACATTGATGTCACTGGGCACTCTTGGTCTGCTCCTGCAGATTCCTCATTGCAACCACCAGCAGGAAAGCATAAGGGTCTGACTTCCACACATGGAGAGTGCAAAGATTCTCTCCTGGGCAAGGTTTTGATATTGGGCATAGACTAGGTGAGGGTCAACAAAGCGTTGATTGAGCTTCAGGATGGCTTGATCCAATAGTGGTCTCCTCCCCTTCAACCATTTGTGGCCAGAGAGGAGGTGGACTGGCTGCTTTGGGAGGCCTTCCCTGTGAAAACCCAGTGCCAGTATCCCAAGAGATCTCCAAAGATTGGCTTTGCCTCACAGGGCAGAGAGTCCCAGATCCAGTGGATCACCTTCCTGGGATCCTTGAGCCTTGTTGGGATGAATTCCCTGATCATGCAGTGGAAGATGAAGCTGCTAGGCCGATTCTTACTGCCACAGGGAAGACAAATCTTGAGAGGTTAGCATAATTGTAGAAATGCATGCCCAGATTGCAGGCCCTCCTGCTGTGAAAGGGTGTGGGTGAATGCAAGCAGCCCTGAGACAAAACATGGACAGCTCATCATATTTCTATTTAGATTAAAACATCATTATATAGGTCAACTGCTAACAACTAATATCTTCTTGTTCCTAAAAATTTTCTAGAATGAGAACTTGACAACCTGGAAAGAAGGAATCTACATTAACATCAGCCCTTTCAGACAAGCCAGGTCAGGAATTGGACACCACAGAGCCTGTTGGAGCTCTGCAATGTTCTTGTGGGGCACAAAGACAGAAGCTTGAAAGCCTGTCAGAGTGTCCCACTGATCACTTTTATGGGATACAGAATCAAGACAGGATTATTTTTACTG